GAATACGTCTTCATCTTGAATCATGTTCTGAACGGAAGGTTGTCAGAAGCATTATTTTATTGATTTCTTATAGGCCCGGCTGTTGACGCAGTGTCCATCGTGTTCTAAATCACTCTCTAAAGCGGTAGTTATAACGTTAAGTTTTTATTCCGCTGTAGACTGCTTTAAAACACGCAAAATCTTGCGCTGACTTTCTGAATATATCATTATTTAGTTTACTATTTCTTAACGGAGACATACCCCCAGATATCTTGTGTAGCAGGTAAATTAAATTTTTACAATGTGTTACTTACAATTTCTTCTAATTCAGTAAATCATCCCGTTCTTCAAAACTTTCAAATTCGAAATCAGAACCAAATTTAAAGGTAGCTAAGAAGACTTCTAACAGAAAAGCTGTTAAAAATTCCATAAGTACTATTGAACATTTACTGATTTCGTCAGTAGATAGGCGTAAAATATTTGCCAATCGCCTCTCTGATATTCTTCATGTGGGTGACTTTTCTTTTAACTATATTGTTTTAATATAGAAGGAACATTTTGCTTGGTGTTTATCTGAAAATATTAATAGCCAAAGCAGATATTCCTCTTTTCTTTGGGATTTATCTTCACTCTCACTGAAAAATAAGTCAGAAAGATTTTACGTCGATTCCTTAACTAAACTCTTGACTCCCTCTCGGAAAACGAAAACGCACGATCCTCTTCGTTTGTCACAGATTCCTGGTAGAAGCCCTTCTTCTTTAAAGCAGATTCACATGACTCAAACACCTGAGGTAACTTCAGTTTTGTAAAATGTTATTCGTTAGCTTGAGAAACAATCCACAACCCCAGAATGTAAAAATCTCACAAATGAGTTGCTATCAAGAATGGTTGCTTCTCCTCTTTGCTCCGATTTATCGATTTGTTTGGATTCTGGAGAATCGATTCCTGCCCATCGGTTTATTTTAGCTTCATGGAGCTCCGAACTTGCACTTCTAACAGTACTTCTATTCTTTCCTATCATTTCCCGTCATTTTAAAGGATAATGCTGATTCGCTCAGTGCTCCGGGCTTAAATAAAGGGGAACTCATTAATCTACTTCGTGCTCTTTACACATTTGATTTGTCCTACTTTTCGGCGTTATCTCCGGAAGCAGAGTTCACTTTAGATTGGTTGGTGTATTGACTTATTAATCTGATCAATTTTCTAGCTGGCAACTATTGGACATAGTGAGAGGCAAGGTCAAATCGGATGCATCCAGTAGATTAGCGATTACTCCTAAAACCCAGGAATCTATTAGCGTTCGTGACAGTACCTTTTACAAAAGCGGAGTTGATTTATTTGCTTCTGATTTGGCGGAAAATACCGATATCTGCAGTCCGCGTATCTCCCTCAATCCTAAAACTGTAAGAGTCTGGGTTAAAAAATGTGTCAAGTACATCTTTAGACCTCACATTCATCAATGTGTACAATCCAAGTTGGTGAGTACCCTACTGACAAGGTATTTGCGAACTCATATTTGGTAATTTAATCCTCTGTTCAGTCCTCTGTAAATGTTGCTACTTGTGACTCCATACTTCCACCTACTCCCGAATTATTCCAACCGAATAAGGTAAAGTGGAAACACAAATTATTGGCTGTTGTCCTCTGCTTGAGAATTGCTCTTAACTTGTATGTATATATATTTCCGTCTTTAGATGCTATCTTGTCAGTCAACGCCATTCATACCGCTGTCCCTTAAGACTACTCTAACGGTTTGTTATTTTTGTGTGTATTTGTGTCAGCATTGGCGAATAAATTGTGGGTTTTATGGGTTTCATCTCGTTCCTATTCAGGAAGGGGAACAACCAGAGTTAATCAACATTTCTTCCGAGCATAATAAAGCTGCGCGAAACGAGGTACGGGCAAATCTCTGATTTGGTGATGTTATTTTATGGGTCCATTATTCAACTATTCAATTTTACTCTGAGTGCTAGGGTAGATGGTTATGTCTATGGTAGGAATTTGAGTTTATATGCAAAGTCTGATATTTCATAGCTATTTATTCTTATAAAATATCGGTCGAAGTGATTATCAAAGAAACCCTTTCGTTAAGTAAAAGAACAACGATATATTTAAAATGTTGCTTCAATCTAATATCATTCAGATTGTCTTTCAATTTTTCCAGCCCGGAAAACCTTCCACATTCCCTGAACCTGCAACTAAAGGCGAGGTGCAATTAGTCGTTGAGGGTGTAAATCTCAAGGTGAGAATATAAAATTAATACCTATTTCTAATCAAAATAAAAAGAATCATAATTATCTGACATTTCCTTATCTAGGCCGATACCTCTTCCTTAATATTCGATACTTCGTCCAAAAGTACTATGAAAGCCGCCGTCGAACAAGTGGATATTGAGGTTTGATTAGGCTGTTTCATTTTCTAGCAACTGAATTTTTTATCATTCAGGCCGAAGGATCTCCACAGCTGCTTGAGGATTCATCTGGAACCGATGTCGAGATGATTATCGAACCAGTGGATACTATTGTATGGCAGGGTCATTTATTCACCCTTTTAATCGCAGTTTTTTGTTGACAAATGCAATTTTTTCCCCAGCCTCAAGAACCTCCTCTACCTGGAAATGCCATTGGTTTGGATTTCGATAAGGGAGGAAAAGAAGTATGTCCACTTTTGCTGCATTGTCCCATTTTTTTATCTTTTTAATACTTCCCTAAACCACCCACTATGTGGAAAATTTCTTCATATTTCGAGTAAAGTATTCTTTGGTTCCAACTTGGGATTGAGAATAAACATTACAGGATCGCTTTAAATGAAAGGCTCATATCTTGCTCTATTCCTTGTAAATAGTGGAGGTTTTGTATCACGATCTTCCATTGGGAAATCATCAGTCTCGACATTTGAACCTCCGGAAATGGCCTCCGCCACTGAGGTTGCTGCCTCATTCATTCATTCATTCTTCAGTGGATCAATATTGATTTCAAACGGTTCAGATGGTCAGATAAGTTAACCATGTAAAAGATCAGAATACTTATTGTCCAAGAAGCTTGAGGGTACAAGATGTTTGCGCAAATTGTCATATGTAAAGTTTTAGCAGAAATTGATATTCGATGTGTGAATACTAAGGTATAAAATTATCGAATTTTTTTACCCAATATGGTTTGCTTTAATATATCCTATTTTTTTCATAAATGTTGTTGGGTTGTTGGTGTTGAAATGGTATAGCAGATATTTGCAAACTTCTTTCACCCGGACAAAGTAAATGTTTATTCTCAGGTGCGAAAAATTTACTTTGTGATTTCTTTTTACTGACTTCTTTATTTATAAAGTTAGTTTCCTAAACTGATGTCGCTTTAGCGCCTTAGTTTTGACCGGTAGTCTTTTTTTATCGTGCTTGCGTATTCTTTGAGGTTAGTCTTCATATTTGGCTGAATTAATTCTCCTCAAAAGGCTCTCAGACAGGTGATTTTTTGGTCCTGATCCATGTAACTCCTTACGTTCATAGTTTGTTTTGTCGGTTGGCTGACGGTTGGTTTAATTTTCTAAATTTGGATAGAGGGATCGTAGCCGATAGTGTTTTTTTTAATACCTACGTAAATGTCTCTTTCAGCCTGGAGATTTAATGATTGTGGCACCTTCATCCTTTAATACGGCCATGAAAATGGATAGCCAAAAGCCTGATGACGAGGTGATTAAATCGATATAATTTGCTTTACAACGTTTTCTCTTCTCAGCTTTCATTAGTATGCTAATTTTTCTCATTTATTCCAGCTCCGCGAGCTATCTTGCACAAAGGTTAACGAAATTAATGCAGAGGTTATTGATAACACGGTATGGCTGTGTGTACTTTTACTACGTATTATTGAAAGGACAAAAGAGGTCTATTGTCTGCCAATTTTTATCATTGTAGCTCGAAGAACCCCGAGTACTACTAGCTTCCTCTCCCAGAAGTGAGAGCGATAAGGTAAGTTTGCAACACCCTCGCTTTTTGATAAATTACCCCAATTCTTCATCCCATAATCTGTTCTATTTCAGCCCCTCACCCAGTCACCGTGTCATTCAGTCGACTTGGATCCACCCTCGTTTGGAGGAGGTTTTGATGAATTCGTCGCGTTTGAAGCAGAAGAACAACCTGTCCATCTTTCCGCTCTGAAGGTGAGCTTTTCATTATTATTATTATTGTAGGCTTTTTTCTCATACTGAAATATCGACTTAAGCAACGTCACTAACTCCGACGTATGCAAATAAAACTACAACAGAGCTTTATGAAATTGCTAAATAAGAGAATTAATAAAAGTATCATTCTCCATTTCATTCTTGGTTAGAGTGTTTCTTGTGCCTTTATTTATTCTAGAATAGGAGTGTATTTATTTCTCTCTCTCTAAGTCTCGAGGTTTTGGTTATTATGAGGATGTGCCAAAATGTTCTCAGATCTATTCTATAATCTATTTAGCAAGTGCTTACATTCATTTTCTACATTGATTCCATTGCTGTTCATCCACTTCTGTAATCTATGTTTCTTCCCTCATGGAAGAAGTTTGAGGGTTGTCTTTGTCACCATGGAAGTCCATGCTTTTTTGTTTTATCTAAAGGCGTAAATCGGGTTCCTTTAAGGTGCAGTTTTGGAAACAAAAAAATTTTGAAGGAGCTAGGTTTGAACAATAAAGTGGAATCGGAAGTATTTCCTGTCGAAATTCACACAACAGGCTCTGGCAGCTCTTGAAGAATGTGCAGAGGCATTGCCACGATGAAACGAAATTTAATTGCACAATTTTTTTGACGAGGGATGTCTTTAAATTCCTAAAAAATGCTTTCGAAATAACTTGAGGTGATCGTTTTCTGTCCTTCTAGAAAGTCTGTCAATACCACTCCTATTGAATCATCAAATATACTGGTCATGACCTTTACTAATGGACCTTTCAGCTTTGAACTGGACAGACCAAGATATTCCCCTTGGACGACACTCTTTTGATTGAATTACATTTTCTGGATCAAATTATTAGATCCAAGTTTCATTCTCGGTAACGGCGTTCGGAAAAAGTGCCCTAATTTGCTTCCATCATTACCAAAGTTACTTAAGAAAGTTCAGCTCTTTGAATCAGTAGTTATTCCTGCAACTCTTTTGGAACCCACAGTGCCCACCAAGAGCTTACTCGAGCCAAGGTTTTGAGTGAGAATTGAAAATGCTGATCCGTGTATGACTCCTACTTCATAGGGAATTTCCTCGATGGTAAATCGTCCATCTTGGTTCATTCGATTTCACTAGGCACAATTTAGCAGCAAAAATAACTACCATTTAAAACCAATTATTATTTCAAGAACAATTAAGGTATTTTTCCTTTATGATTATGAAATTAACATTGATGTAGTTGGTCACTAATGGGTCTCAATGTCTGATCGTTACCAGATCGTTATTACTGTCGTAATAATTATTCTTAACAAAGGTTTTGATTTCAATAAGAGTATTTGGTTTTCCAAGAGTGTCTAAAGCTGCAACATTATTAATGCTGGATATATTAGGATGGCAACTAAGTCATTGCCGATTTCAAATAAGAAGGCAAATTCGGAATTTTTGATTAAAAATATAACTTTATTCAATTAGATATTGGCCGTTCTTGTCGATTACCTTTTTCCATCGTTCTGGCAGAGTAAAAATTCCCCATTCGTAAAATGTCTGGTCTTTGCTATTAAAAATCTGAATTAGGTGTGATCCGACATCATCCGCGTTGTTAACAATTTTACCATTTAAAGAGTTTTGCATGGAACGAAACAAATGGTAATCCGAAGGCGCAAGGTCAGGGCTATATGGTGGGTGTGAGTGACAA